GTTATATTCTAGTCCAACCTCTAGAGTTCGTGTAAATGGTTACCTGTCAGAAAGCTTTCCCCTAAAAAGAGGGACACGCCAAGGGTGTTACCTATCACCAATCCTATTCGCTATTAGTATAGAACCTTTGGCGGAATTAATCAGGAATGATCCATCGATTTTAGGGATCTCAGACAGAACAAAGACCCACAAGCTGTCATTATACGCTGATGACGTTATACTTTACGTTAGAGATCCAATAATCTCTGTTCCAAAATTGCTAAAATGTTTACAGGACTTTAGTGCTGTCTCAGGATACAAAGCAAATGAGTCAAAGTCTGAAGCCATGATGATAAAGGGGAGCTGGCCTTCAGAATTGTCCAAAAAAGTCCATTTTAAATGGTCACCTAACGGGTTTCGATATCTGGGAGTGATCATAACTGAGGACACCACTCAACTGTACAAAGCAAATTATGGAAAAGTAATTGATCAAATTCAAAAAGATTTAGAAAGATGGGAAATATTACCATTATCTCTTTTTGGGAGGACTGAAACGATTAGAATGAATGTTCTCCCCAGATTGTTGTACCTGTTTATGTCCCTTCCTATCTGGATTCCAGCAAGCAATTTTAGAAAAATGCAAATAATGATTTCCACATTTATTTGGCAAAAGAAAAAGGCCAGAATCAAATTTACACAACTGACCAGTGGTAGAGCAGACGGAGGCCTTAATTTACCAAACCTGAAACTATACTGCTGGGCAGCACAGCTGCGTGGGCTGGTGGAATGGCTAAACCAGAGGAAAGAAACAACATGGTCGACTTTGGAACAAAGCTCATGCTCTAGATTTTCACTGCAGGCCTTTGCATTCTGTTCAAATGAGATATGGAACAAGTACAAAATCACAAACATTTGGATGAAATGCACTCAAAAGGTTTTAAATACTGTTAGAAAAAACATGAAGGCTCCTCAGTCCATATCTGGGGCCATGAAGATTTCAGACATAATAGATTTCTTACCGGGACAACATGATTCAGGGTTTAGAGACTGGGAGAATAAAAATCTAATCTTTGTTGACGATTTGTTTGAAGGGGAGATTCTCAAATCATTTAGTCAGATTCAGGAGAAATATGGCTTGAATTCATCAGATTTTTATAGATTTTTGCAGTTGAGAAGCTACTTGATGTCCCATAAAGAACGTCCACTTCTTCAAACTCAGCCTACTGATCTGGAACTGGTTTTCACAAAGACTGCTAAAGAGAGAAAATACGATGAAGTAGTGTCAAATCTATATAAATGCTTACAGTCAAGTATGTCGGGGGACGCTCCGGGGATAAAGGAAAGGTGGGAATCAGAAATGAACACAGTCACTAAGGACCAAGAGACCAAGTTTGTGAAAATGGACACAAAGTGTCCAACAGTCCAACATGGAAAGAATTTATTTGGAAAGTGAACGTCAGATATTTTAAAACGCCATTCATTATTTCTAAATTTGATAAATCTAAAACAAATTTGTGCTGGAGACAATGTGGACTAGTTGGCGATCATACACACATTTTTTGGGATTGTCCAAAGCTTCAAACATTTTGGGAGCGAATCAGGGAGGAAATCTCTCATATTTTGCACATTTACATTGATATGAACCCACTGGTCTTTGTCTGTGGAGCGCTCCCAGGTGATCTGTTCATTAAAGAAAAATTCTGTCTCTTTAAGGTTCTGGTGATGGTGGCTAAAAAAATGAAAACAGTGTCCTGGTATAAACCGTAAGTCAACAGAAAGAAAGACTGTAAAGGTGTATACAATGGAGAAAATAACGGCAAAGCTAAAATTGACTAGATTTATTCAAGAAAAGGTGGGAGCCACTGATGGTATATTTGCATTTGACATGATAGGATCTTAGTCTGTGGGTTGAACTAGTGATTACTGAGAAAAAAGGATGGAAAGGGAAAAAAACAACAACTCCTAAATAGTTAAGAATTTATGGTACCACTTTGTTTGTGATTGTTGCTATTTATTTTCTATTATTATTATTTTTATTTTTTTTTAAATTT